CTTTCCACTTGTACTTTATTTTTAAAAAAATGTCTGGCCTCACCACGTGACACCTTAGTTCCCCAACCTGGGATCAAACCTGTGTCCCCTGCAGTGGAAGTGTGGAATCTTAACCAATGGACCACCAGGGAAGTCCCTCCACTTGTACTTTGGATACCATTCCTTTCCATCACAAAGATTTTGCTCCTTTGTTATCTTTTTTTCTCTCTCTTGCATCCCCAATATTTCCCTCCCTATTGGATCATTCCCATTAGTATACATTCTCTATATCTTTCGTTAAAAAATACAAAAACAATATAAAAGGTACAAAAACAAAATCCTCCCTGACTTCACATTCTCCCAGTTATAGTTTTCTATCACTCTTCACAATAAAATGTCTCAAATACCTGTCTTCACTTTTTCCATCTCCAGCTTAGTCTTGAACTATTCCAATCTGTCCCCCCTACTTCACTGAACTGCCTCCGACAAAGTCAATATTGAGCCCCATGGTGTCAATCCAGTGAGCTTTTTTCTGTCTTGATGTTACCTGTTCTCTCAGTAACACTTGAGACAGTTAACCACTTTTCCTATCCTGGAGCATCTCTTTTTTTGGCTTTTACAACACTATACCCTCCAGCTTTCCCCTCTCCTCACCCAGTCACCTTTTTAGGGACCTAACCTCTATATTTGGAAGTTTTTCAGGGCTTTGTCCTGGACCTTCTTCTCTTATTACATTTTCTTTGATCTCGTTCTTTCTTATGACTTTATTTATTTACTGGCCACACCACATGGCATGCGGGATCTTAGTTCCCTGACCAGGGATGAAACCTGTGCCCTCTGCAGTGGAGGCATGGAGTCCTAACCACTGGACCACCAGGTGATTCCCCCTTTCTTGACTTTAAATATTAGCTATGTTGATGGTGCTCAAATTATCATCTCTGTGCCAGTACACTTCTCTGAGCTCCAACTGCCCATTTGATATCTGTATTTGGATAACTCAGATCATCTAATTCTTCCGGTTTTAGCGTGAACTTTGCATCATTAAAGAAGCCTTTCCTGACCACTGTAACAGAAGCCACCTTATTCTCTCTCTCCAGTTCCTCACCATTATATTTCTATTATTTCTTTTTTAAAATATTTATTGATTTATTATTTATTTATTTTGGCCATGCCAGGTCTTAGTTGAAGCATATGGGATCTTTAGTTGTGGCATATGGGTTTCTTAGTTGCGGCATGCGAACTCTTAGTTGCAGCCTGCATGCATGATCTAGTTCCCTGACCAGGGATTGAACCCAGTATGGAGTTTTACCCACTGGACCACCAGGGAAGTCCTTTCCCTGTTACTTCCTTTGTAGCATTTATTCTATTTAAGTTTTTTGTTTACTGTCTATCTTGTGCATTTGATTATAACTTCATTTATTTGACTTTCACTATTTGCTATGCAGTATTTTAAGCACTTTATAAGATCTAATTTGCTTTTTTGACTGACCATGTTTATCAAAAGCTAAAGGAAAAAAAGAGCAACCTCACATTGCTTCACTTTTATTTTGGTGAAATTAATAGAAGCCAGTGTTAGTAAACTGATTTTCAACCTTACAATTTCATGAGAAATTTCAATATGGTTTGCTAACTAGTATCATGTTCCATATACTTTATACTTACATTTGCTTAAATACACTTCGGTTTATTTATTTTTTAAAATAAATTTATTTATTTTATTTACTTTTGGCTGCGTTGGGTCCTCATTGCTGCGTGCGGGCTCTCTCTAGTGGCGTGTTCAGTATGATAGTAGATAATATATTTACTAGTTTTGTGATCTTGAATAAATTACTTAATATTTCTGTGACTCAGTTTCTATACTTACCTACAGGATTATTGTGATTATTAAAATAACAAATGTAAAATAGCAAATGCTTGATAAAATGCTCTCCTTTTTTGATCCCCGTATTCACATGATTTCTTTTTAACACCTGATTTCTTTTTTTTTTTTTTTTTTTTCTAATTTCTTCGATTAGGAATTCTAGTTGAATAAAAGTGCTGAGAGTGGACATCTTTGCCTTGTTCTTGAGCTTTTCCTGAAAAGCGGTATACGGGCCTCTCACTGTTGTGGCCTCTCCCGCTGCGGAGCACAGGCTCCAGACGCGCAGGCTCAGAGGCCATGGCTCTTGTGCCCAGCCACTCCGCGGCATGTGGGATATTCCCGGACCGGGTCACGAAACCTGCATCTCCTGCATCGGCAGGTGGACTCTCAACCACTGCGCCACGAGGGAAGCCCCTGATTTCTTTTTAACACCTAATGAAAGGCAAAGGATTGAGGAGAAGGATTTATTTATCAGCAGCATAGGTGAATCTTCTTAAGGTAATCAGACAAAATGAGAAAAAGAAAATTTTGATGAGAACTTGGTGGCTATTGCTAGTATGGTGTTTTAGGATACTTCTCTCATAGTTGTTCATCAATGGTACAAAATAGCAGTAGTTGTCTTTCTCTTTCACTACCCTTTAAATGATGGGCCTATTGGTAGTTTTTTTTTCTAAGTACAGGAGGCATCAACACTCAGTTTGGAAGCACAACTTGTGTGCTAAGAATAAATGGTAAGTGGGAGCAACCTAATTGGTTGCCACCAACAGATGAATGGAGAAAGATGTGGTATATACATACAATGGAATACTACTCAGCCATAAAAAAGAACGAAATTTTGCCATTTGCAAAAACACAATGGACTTGGAGGGCTTTATGCTTAGTGAAATAAGTCAGACAGAGAAGGACAAATACTGTAGGTTATCACTTGTATGTGGAATCTAAAAAAGAAAACAAACTAGTGAATACAACAAAAGAGAAACAGACTCACAGATACAGAGAACAAACTAGTGGTTACCAGTAGGGCAAGGGGGGGCCAGGGGGGGCAAGGTAGGGGCAAGGGATTAAGAGGTATAAATTCTATGTACAATAAATAAGTTACAAGGATATATTGTACAGCCCAGGGAATACAGCCAACCTTTTGTAATAATTATTAATGGAATACAATCTTTAAAAATTGTGAATCACTATGTTGTACACCCGAATCTTATATAACATTGTAAATCAATTATACCTCAACAATTCAAAAATAAAGAATAAATGGTAAGTAAAAAACAGTAAATAGAGGCAAAGGGCAAAAGCTGAACACAAGTGAACCTAGACCTGCGTCAAGGATTTGAGGTTGCTAGTTGCTTATTTTGTGGGCGGGGCGCCGCACATCAAGCAAGAATCAAGACCAGTTTTGCACCTCTGTTCCTTTGGCTCCTGACCAGTCAAAGCCGGCCTGTACTTAACACCCAGTCAGATTCTGTTGGCAAACCCTAGCACCGTTTGGATAAAAATCGGAGGCCAGATGCGCGAGTTCATCAATTTAAAAGAAAATAAGTTGTTTAGATAATAAGTTGTTTAGATAAGCTGAGCCATTTTTTAAAGTTGACTTGGTCTCACATTTCAGAAGAAATGGCAAGACTGGCCAATTTTTTAACCTGATGATTTCATTCAATAATTCCAGGAGGTCATTCCACTGTAATTTTAAAAAGTTGCTTGCTAGAACAGGGTACTTTCTAAGATCTGTATGAAAAAAGCTCTGGTTCTTCTTCACCCTGGGGTACTTTTAGGTCGAACACCTAAAACTGCTTCTGGAAGTTCCCCCACGGGACTTTCTTAAATCTACACCCGTTCCTTACCACTTTGTACCTTCCTCACCAGCCATATTCTTTAGCATCTCCAGTTTTCAACTTCCTAAATCTTTAACTTCACCCCAGGAGTTAGTCCAATCAAACTTTCCCTTCTTAGACCTCTTCCTCACGTTAGCTCCAGGAAACTCCCATGAGAATCACGTGGCTAAGTTTGTCCTTAATGGCGCTCCGTAACTCGCCTACTGTGCCACCACCCTTCCTCACCTCCTGTTAGCTCCGCCCCACCCCCTTCTCGCTTTCCTCCCCTCCCCCCCCACCTCAGTGCCTGCGCTTGCGCACCTCCAATTCAGGCGCTTTCCCTTTCCTGGCGACCAATCCACTTCCTGCCTCCGGTCCTCGGAACATTCCTCCCCTCCCTTGAGGTCCTGGCTAGAGGTGCTGGTTGTTGCTGCCCTGAGGACTGCCTGTCTGAAAAATTCGCTCCTCTCATTGAGAGAGCAATTTGAAGCAGTCGCTATGTGTGTGGCACCTATCTGAGTATTTACTCGCGATCCTCCACCCCGGAGCTAAGCTAAGCGGGTGGGGATGCCGGCGGAAGGAAGCACCGGGCTGTTTTCGATCTGGCAATCGCACGGATAGCTGCTTCCTTTCCACCTCCTTCCGCCCCGCCCCCACTCGCAGCCCGGCCGCGCTGGTGAGTGGCGGGCGGGAGGGCCGGCGGGCGGAGGGAGGAGGGGGAGCTGAGGGAAGGCGGGCCCTCGGCTGCGAGCTAGGTGGGGGGAGGGGAGGGGAGAGCCCGAGCGCTGGAGTTGGTGCTGGGAAACCCGGGGCTAATGTTGACAACAGGCTCGAGGTGAGTCCCGGGGAACCTCCTTCCCCTCCGCTCCAACGATCGGGAGGAAGCGGGGCTGGGGGGCACCGGCCTGGACTCGTACTCCCTGGGGGACCCAAGAGGCGCCTCCGCACCCCAGCGCTCCGGGGGTGGCGAGCAGGAGCCGGACCGCGGGTCCGGCGTCGTCCTCACACCCCTCTCCTCCGGAGGCTCCCATCAACGCGGGAGCCCCTGGCCCGGGGCAGGCAGGAGGTGCGGTTGAGGGGGTGCCTGCCCCACATGCCCGGGCCGGGCCTCGGGGCCGGAGGTGGGGAGCCCGCCGTGACGGGCTGCAGCCGTTTGGGGGTGTGCAGGAGGGCGAGGGGAGGTTGGGGAAAGCTCTCAGGGAGCCGGGAGGGAAGCGAGGGCGAGGAAGTGGGGAGGGTGCGTGTGTGGGAGGATGTGGAGCGGGGAGACCGGCCGGAGCGTGTCGGGCTCCGTCGGTGAGGGAGTGTGGGGTGCGAAGTTCGGGTTGGGGCAAGGATGGTGCGCGAAGGTGACCGTGGACCCGCGTGGGAAGGGGAGCTGTGGCGGGGAAGCGTGTCGGGCAGAGGCGTGTGGAGCAAGAGCAGGGGGTTGTGGGAGACGAGGGTGTACGGGAAGGGGTTTGGGTGTATTGGGGCAGGCATTAGTGGGTGTACTTTGTTTTTTAGTCCCGTGGGCTGGTGATTCCTCACTTTGCCTTCATGCCGGGTCTCCTGGTCTTCTCTTGTTGGCCCTCTTGAAGTAACCGGACGATCGTGGGGTATTTGGTCTCCAGGTTGGCCAAGCAGATCCAGCTTTCAGGCTTGAGGGGACATTCTGGACCGAACCGTCAGTTCTCTTGCTCCCTTGGGGCTTGTACGCAGTGATGCCTCAGACCTGAGGAAAACTATTACTCACTTTGCTCCTTTAGCAGAGTTGTTGCGTGTTCATGAGGACTGTACAACTCCTCGAGAAAATCGTTTTTGAACTCTGGTGAAATTTGTAAAAGCTTTGAAAGAGTCCTTTATACTGAGGACGTTCTTTAAAGTCGAAGACTGGGAGGTAATGCCCCTGTGCGGTTCTGCCCTTAGAACATTTTGAATGAATAACCGAGAATGAAAAGAAAAAACAGCATTCTTTTACTCTGGAGTATTTTCAGAGCAGTCTCTTTGTGATTTCATACATCGTCCATATGGTAGTTTGCGAAGGAATATCTTTGAAAGGGAAACACCCCTTCCTCTGCACTCTCCCCGTACACGCCGTTGCTAGTACCTGTTTTGCCAGTAAAGTAGTTTTTACTTTCTTCTGGAAGTTCAGAGTATATTTAGAAAACCAAACAAAATATACAGCCCAAGGGTCAAGACACTATTTTGGGAGCTAGGAAGGTGGTTTTAAAGCATGGCTTCCTTTTAAGGACTGTGTGAATGTAATTATACTCAGTAAAATAGCTTGTAAGAGCTAATCATATCCAATTAAAAGGTCACTAATTTTTACTTTATTTTGAGATAGAATCTTTTTTAAAGTTTTAGTTTTTATTTGAAAAACTTGTGAAACATTTTAGGTAAAATAGATGTTTATTAAAGCATGAATTTATTAAAATAATTTAAAGAAATTCGAGCGTTTCATTAAATATAATTTAACACAGTTCAGTTTTTGAAACTTGATGTGGTACAAATGCATACTGATCTGAATCATGTTGTTCGTATCTTTTATTTGTCTTTCTAAATCTTAGAGTCAGGGCGTATAGTGGAAAAGAGCACTGGACACAGAGTTTCAACCCAGCCACTAAACTAGTTGTGTAATCTAAGGCAGGTCACTCAACGTAAAGATTGAGAATTAGAGTAGGTAAAATCTAGTACTCCTAACTTGAAAAATCTCTCATTTTAGGATGAACTTTTCAGTGTTCTCTGTGAAAGAGAATAAACATTTGTTGAATGCCTCCCTCATGCTGCTACTGGTTTAGAAATTTAAGAAGTCTGTAATTCCAGAGAGGTAGCAATAGTTCCATTTTATTGATGAATAGACTCAGAGAAGTTACATTGCCCAGTTTCCATAGCTAGCAGTTTGCAGAGTTGGGATACAAACTTAAAAGTCTGACTGACTTTAAAGCTCATATTACTTCATATTGCATTGCTGCCTTTACATGAACCTTTAGATTTCCATGGTATTTTTTGTTCACTGAAATTTAGTTCCAAGTGTACTTTGGGTATATGTTTGTAATACAGGGATGAAATGATTCAAAGGAGATACCACTCCCAAGACTTAAGGTTCTTACTGAGAATCTGTTTTGCCATGCTTTAGAGCAGAATTTTATTCATGAATGACTACAGTTTGATGTAGAAGGCACTTAAAAATCTATTGAATAATTGAGTACTGTGGAGAGTCACAAAAGTTTGGGAGACTCTTGTGCTAATAAATGATGATCCTTTATGAATTTGTCAGATTCCAAGTGAATTTCTTAATGTTTTAACAGAACTTAATATCTAATTTCATCTTCATAGATGAGATATTAATTATAAAATTTGATGCCATTCTTTTTTATATCCTGAAATGTTCCTCGTATCAGCTGAAATGTTGCTTGTTGCTGCTTCACAACAAAATACAAATTCTGTATAAACATTATTATTATTTTGCATAGAATTACAAATATTCCTAAGTAAGATTATCTTGTTACCTAGGAATTACCTGTCCCCATATATTTTAGCAGAGAATATGCCAGAAGTTAAAACATACTGCATAGCCATTATCAGGGACTCTTTCTACTTTGAGATACGTAATTCTGATTTGTTGTAGTCAGTATCTGTTGTCAAGTTTTCCAGCTGACAGTTTCGTATTCTAAAGGTTCTTCATAACTTGAGTTAAGAGTATGAGTTCAGATTCCAGTTCTGTCACTAGCTGTGGCAGCCTTGGTCAAGTTACCTGGTCAGGTCTCCATTTACTCATTTATAAAATAGGGAAAGTAATACCCACCTCATAAAGATTTTAGTATCAAATGAGATAATGTATGTAAGATGTTTACTCTGGTACCAGTGAGTAGTAGCTATTAGTATTCAATCTTTTGAAAGTTTGCTTGCTTTGGGGCAAAGGTGTTTATTTAATTGAAGCTGCATGAGAAATTGATAACTACACTTCCCAGATAGTATAAATATTAACAGTATCTTAGCACATAAATATGTAGTTATGCTCTTATATATTTTAATGATTGTTTAAACAGGATTAGCAGCCTGTTTTTGTTCAAGTTCTACCAATGGGGTTAACTAAAGCCTTTGGGTGTCATTGTCCAAAAAAATGCATAGAACATGGAAGTGGAGGCGAATAAGAGTAAAAACAGAAAAAGGGAAAGGAAGAGGCGGCTGAGAGAAGGTACAGGCTATGGAATGTGCCTCCAGAAATTACTGAAAGGCTTCTGTTGGCTTAGATTGTCTTTCTGTGGTAATACTTTATTAGAGGGCTGAAATAAATGCTTTGTGTCTATAAAATATTATTGCAAATGATTTCTTTGCTAACCTAGTTTTTATTGATGTAATTTAAAACCTATATTTGAAAATACTTAAAGAGTACTGTGTTTGTCTTTAGCTTGTTAAAAAAAAAAACTAGGTAAAGTCATTCTATACTTCTTAAATGGAAAGTATTTTGATTATCTTGGGTACAACTTTCAGATGATTTAGGAATTAAAACATGAAGTACTGTCCATAAAAGAAATGATATGAGGACATTAAGTTCTAAGTAGAGATGTATTTTTAGAAAAGAAAATCATGAATTTTGCTGGGGAATACATTTTTTGTTCCAGAGTTTATTTCCAGTTAACTGTATGGAACCTGTACTATAGACCAGTGCTATCCAAAAGAATCTTCTGTGATGATGAAAATGTTCTGTATCTGCACTGTCTGTACCCACTAGCCACATGTGGAGTTGAGCACTTGAAATATGGGTAGTGACTGGAGAACTGAATTTCAAATTCTGTTTAATTTAAATTAATTTACAATGTAAGTAGCCACATGTGGCTAGTGCAGTGGTTTTCAACTGGTGTTGATTTTCCCCCCAGGGGACATTTGGTGATGTCCAGAGTAATTTTTGGTTTTTAAAACTGGGGAGATACTACTGGCATCTACTGGATAGAAGGCAGGGATGCTGCGTTTAAACTTTGTGCAGTGCACGGAATAGCATCTCCCTCCTCCCATCCAGAGAATTGTCTTGCCCAAGATGTCCTGAGGCTGAGAAACCGTGGGCTGGTGGCCCTTGTATTGGCTGATATAGAAGAGAATATACAGTTTTTTTATAATCATTATTATGCTTAATTATAAACTAATTTTGACTAATACTAATAAAGAGATGAAAGGTCTAGTCCAGTTTGGGATAGTTAACAGTTTTTGTATTTGAAAGTTCGATAAGTTTAGAGCAATGAGGTGAAATTTATGAGTCTTCATAGGAGGCAAGAGTTCATTTATGCTCCCACTTAGATACTTGTATTGAATATTGTATGAAGTAGTGTCACCAGCATTTCTTAATGGCTGTGAAATGGCGGGGGGGGGGGGGG